TGCCTTGCATCCATGGAGATACCCTATCTCCTCCTTTCACTCTGTCTTCATAACTGACTATCATAACGCTCTCTTCCATACTCCATATATCCATCACCCTCTCGATCGCAATCATCTTTACCTCATTCACACTGCTCTGTTCGTTGATCCTTCCATTCCCTATGACCCATTCTCCCCCTCCTCTCTCCCATGCCCAACCTATGCCTACTACTTCTACTTCTGACCTTATCCCGGCGTCCACATGCACCTCAGTCATTCTTTCTCCCCCCGCTTCCCCTAGCAATATCCCTTGCATTCATGGGGATACCCTATCTCCTCCTTACACTCTGTCTTCAATCTTTTTTGTACCGTTCGTACTTCATTCCCAGTATCTGGCCCTCGTTTTCACGTATAGCGGAGTTATACTGGAAATCACGCAGAGTTCAGCCGTCGGCGTCGTCCTGTATGCCCCACTTGAGGCAATCAGAAAGGGCCTCTTCGCTACCCTTAATTGCCTTTCCACTCTGCTGCCATGCACTCTGTATCCCCATACTTGCATCCCATACAGTACCGCAGGTTGGGTACCCTTCCATTAATGATTCTCACGCATTGTTCACCAGTGTCCATCACAATTCCAAGGTATCTTACATTCATTCTTATCTCTAGCTCTCTCTCTCATTTATTCTGATGACCGAAGTCATTCATCCCTTCTCGCTGGTATGTATATGCATTCTGTTTTTCTTTTATTACATCCCAACCACATCTCTTCCTCCCAAATTCATGTTATACCAGCTTCCATCTCTTCTCTCTGCTTCCGACGGAGTTGCCTTCGATGATGACCAGGTGATGGTTCGCGTAGGCCTGCACGTGTACTTTATACGCTCCAATGGCTTCTCTACTTTCGAACATTCTTTCGAACCATGCCTCCATCAGAATTAACCATAAAAGGTACATGCCCCTTTTATGAGTTGTTCTCTGACTATTGCCTTAACAATTACAATGGAGGTTGTGTTTTCCACCTCTCCCGTGGCTGCCTGGACCTACCAACTTCAGTAGGATAGGTTCTCTTCCCCCTCTTTCTCCTTTGCCTACTCCTACGCCTATTTTGGGCCTCCTGAAAGCCCTGTTCGGTTTCGCCATCCATCTCCATTTCCGTTGTTGTCAGACGCCCGATCATTCTGTGGACGTTGCAATATTTTCACGCCCTACTAAGGTTTGTTCGCTTGTTTCCCTTCCTTGCCGAGGTTTGATGGACCCTTTTTTTAAATTTCTATCTACTCTACTATTTTTTTCATTCCTTTCCATTCACTACCTATTTCATTAAACCATCCAACCATTCCTTCTAGTCTCAAAGCCAACGCCTTTATGACTTTCTTTTCAAACTTCTACATTTTAAATCTTTTCTCCATTTCTCTCACTCTTTCCCCAAGCATACCGTTTCTCATACTCATTCAGTTTCGTTTTCACTTTACCTCCCAACATCGCTATCTGCTGTAAGCTGCCACTCAAAGCATTCTGCTCTTCCTTATTGAACTGGATCTTTTCTGATGAGTACCTGGTCGTAGCCTTTTGAATTATTTCATCCATCCCTCCAATCCTAGAAGTTAGGTGATAGAGATCCTCCTTGAGGCCCCTAACCTGTCTGTCATGCCCTGATTTCCCTTTCTCTCTAAGTAATTCCTCCGCTGCTTCCCTTTCCTCTTTCTCTCGCAAACTCCGGTTAAGGTCATCTCGGAGTTGCTCTATATTTTCTTCCGATCTGTTTAAAATCTCCTTTGCCGCCTTTTGCATCATATATCTCGCTTCTAGGATTTCAGATCCTCGATTGGAAAACGTCCAGTATATCTATATCTATATCCCCGTTAGTTGGTTTTCTTTTTTTTCTATAATCCATGTTTTCAATTTCTCATCAATTGCCTATTCCGTGTAAACCGGGCCTTACCCCAATATTTCAATACTAGGCGAATGTCACTTTATCGCCTTTCGTCGGATAAGGAACGGAAAAACATTCGCTGATTGTTCTTATCACGTTTCGACTTAAAAACGTGATAAGATAAACTTTTATTTGTACGATAATGATACCGAACATACCCAATATCCAAGTCCAGCACTGTTTTATGCGTAGTTTTTCTTGTGTTTATTCCACAGATAATTATTTTTACGATTATTTTTAACCGTCACTTTTACTGCATTTTATCTACAGAAAAGTCACACTCCAGAAGTTTCATCATCTATCAGGAAACCATTACCACTACAAAGATACACACAGCAACAAATGGTAGTGGTCTCAATTTCAACAATTTCAACGCCCAGTATGGCCTTTCCAGCCAGCCTATACCAGACCCCAATTTTCAACTGGACCGATGAACCTACCACCTCGAGTCATTTCACCACCACTACGTTTTCCAACCAATCAGTAAGTTTTCGGTGAACCACAAAAGGTTTGGAACCCGAAAAATGATCAAACACCATCGTACAGACAAGATCCAATACCAATGAGTATTTCAACACGAAATACCCACCAACATAATTATTTTAGGCCTCAATCTTCTCGCCCAACTTTCACGTCCGAGGAACTTTTTTCAGGCTCCACAAAATCATTTCTCAACCCTGAAGTGGTTTTTAAATTTTTCAAAAATTTCATAAAACACGAGCCATTTGTAGTAACCTCAATTTTTCAGAATTATTCTCAAGACTATTGTGCCAACATTTATAGTTTTTCAGAATTCAATAGTAGTTCCAATTTGAAATTTTATCTATTCAAATTTCACAAAGTTTTTAATGGACTAATTAATTGAAATTAATGCAAGCACAATTAGATTTCTGCATTCGCAACGATACCAATTTTTTACTGCGAAACGAATAATAATCAGTCTTATTCTGCTCAACTCGAGCCTCATACAATTACACGTCTCAGATTACCAGTAGCACAGTGCGCAGTGCGAATTGGTTAGTCTCATGGAAGAGACGCCCTGAACCGTTTCCTATACCACTTAAATGCCCAACACCAGAGCATTAAATTCACCATAGAGATTGAGCAGGACCAACTTTATCAGCTGTATTTGTTAACGACTTTCTTTTTTGTTCATGCTGGTTGGGAATTTCGTCAGCTGTGTCAGTTGATGATGTCCTTTTTAGTTTATCGAGGTCATGATTTTCGTCAGCTGTATCGGTTAATTATTTTCTTTTCTGTCGAAGGCGTTATGGACTGTCACCTATCAGAAAATAACTCACTGGCTAATACCACGAAGGGCATTGGATTATATCCAACAGGTGTCAGTGCAGGATTATTCACTGAAGTTATTCCTACATATGCTGTTCGCGATACAACTGCCGCAATCGATTTGCAATTATTGGAACATGCAGACCGGTTTCGGGCTGTTTGGCCACTCGTCAGTGCAAGGTAGTGTCTATCATCAACATAGTCATACTTGAAGACTGGTCAAAGAGTGGCCAAACAGCCCGAAACCGGTGTGCAAGTGTGTTTCAGTAATTGAAAATCTATTGCGGCAGCTGTATCGCCAACAGCATATGCAGGTATAACTTCAGTGAAGAATTCTGCACTGACACCTGTTGGATGTAATCCAACGCTTTTCGTGGTATTAGCCAGGGAGGTAGTTGTTTTCTGACAGGTGTCAGTCCATTAACCTACAATGTAGGGAGTTGAGACTGGCCTGAATGAATTGTTCTTTCAGATGATTTGATTTATAGCCAGTCCCCAAGTATGCCCATTGACTATATGTGAAAAGTTTTTTTTTCCTTATACGAGGAGTTGGGCAAATTTCGGATGTGCAATTGGTTACTTCGTTCACAAGCAAATGGGGCGTTGACAAATCTGTTGTTTGTTGTCCGCTTTAACCTAGTTAGGGGAATGATACTCTGAAGGAATTCGATTTTCAATTATCGGAAATCATCGACTTTATGTTGATGATAGACATTACCTTGCACTGACGAGTGGCCAAACAGCCTGAAACCGGTCTGCAAGTGTGTTCCAATAATTGAGAATCGATTGCGGTAGTTGTATCGCCAACAGCATATGCAAGAATAACTACAGTGAAGAATCTTGCACTGACACCTGTTTGATATAATCCAACGCCCTTGGTGTTATTAGCCAGGAAAGTAGTTGTTTTCTAATAGGTGTCAGTCTATTAACCTACAGTGGTGGGAGTTGAGACTGGTCTGAACGAATTGTTCCTTTAGCTGATTTAATTTATAGCCATTCTTCAAGTATGCCCACTGACTATATGTGAGAAATTAATTTATGGTGGTGAGGACGATGGCGCAACGTCCAGGGGGACATTCGCTCCTGATTCGTCCGCACTTTTGCAAGGGAGTTCTGATTCTTCCACACCACCCGATTACTCAGTCGTTCTGATGGCCACATGTTGTTCAGGTAAAGTGCTTGTGAAATGTCAACCTGTATTTTTTTGCTGAAATGCTGAAGAGCTCAATGACTTCTTCAAGAAGTCATGCGTGGTAATGCCCTGAAATAACCATCAAAAACTAGCCAGGCAGACCAGATAACCTCATGCCACTCACTAGTCTGGTAATCAAATCAACTAAGCCGTTGAGGTGAGTTATACTGAAGACCAACGACCCTAGCTCTCATGGAATCAAAATGATTTCCATATAAACTCCTTACAAATATGTTTACCTGGATCATGCACAGATTTTTATTTCAAATACAAATTGTATGAAAAACTCTATTCGAATTATTAGGAAATCACTTTTTCCTATTCAGTTTTCAAGCATTCAGAATGGAATTGAAACAGAAATAATTCACGCTACCTATGATATATGTAATTATAATGATTTGCTATTCCACTTTATGGACTTTCGAATCAAAATATTTCTTCCACACAATATTGAATTATCATCAAGACAATCGGCTGATCATTGAAGTTTTGTCTCATCATAATTTTACATTTCCAGACGCATTTCAGCACGAAATATTATCGAAACCATGTTATAATCTGAGGATTCAAGAAAGTGTTTTGAATCATCTACTTTCGATAAATTACTCACGATTCTGAAGATTCCTTTTCTGCTACCAATTTAGCCTTAGTTATCACATGCTCTTCCTCCAGAATCTCGTATTTTGCTGCTAATTCATCATATTTTCGTATTTCCTCAGACACGGTGGAATATGAATCTGAATCCTCAGACCCTTGAAGCTCCATTTCCTTATTCATTTCTTCCTTTTCTCTCTTGATTTTGTTCACAGCCAGTTTGATTTTTTCGTTCTGAAAGAAAAACGCATGCCTGAAGTATAATGCCTTACTGAACTAATAAAAATTTACTTGTGAATCGATTTCCATCTGTTTGATCTGTCTCTGGTTCTCCATTATGATTTTGTATGATTCTGCTCTTGATGAAGATAACTGATTCTTCAAATTCCTGGAATATTTTTCAGCCTCAACTAATTTCGACTCTAAATCAGTTAATATTTTTTTTGTTCTGCTCAATTCACATTTCAACTCCATCATTTCTTCGCCTTTAACTTTTTCAGTGATGAGTTTTGCTCTCAATGCATTCTCACTTTCATCATTCAAAGAAGCTTCCTGACAAAAATTATAATGTCTCATATATGAATGCTCAAATACAGAAAAATCTCACCAAACGACGAATCGACTCATTTCTTTCCTCAATAATCTCTTCAGAATTTTTTATTCTTGATGATAATTCTTTCAGCTTTTTATTACTTGTTTTTTTCTCCTCTTCAAATTTTGCTTGTTGTATCTGTAGTGACTTGATCTCCTGCATTTTCTGATCGATCTGAAACATTCCAAATGAAATGAAAATCAGTGTGTCGAGAAGAGATATATACATATTAGGGAAATGAATATTACGAATCAAAATTTGGAACGTTCACCTCTCCCATCGTCTACACGCAGTAGAACTTCGCAAATACCAGCAAAAACCAACTACTATCCTGGCTCATGCCGTGACATACTTTAAATAACTTTGACAGCTTCTCATCCATTCAGCAGCAAGACCTCTCTAAATGCAGAACATATTCAACAAAGACAGCAGTGTGCCCGGGACACGACTGATTCGTGAATTGGGGTTTATTTAATGTGATACTACGAATGACAATTAGAAGTGAATATAGATTTCTACATTATAAATCAATCAATCAATTTATTTCAACAAGAACAAAACCAGTTATTACAGTTCAGTTGGCTGATAAAGCAATTTCAAGGTTATCTAATTATTCATTTAGTTGACAATATACAAACAGAATGTCGGAAAAATAAGTAGAATTTCTAATAATACACAGAGTAATCCTTGGTGAAAACAATAGGTATATCTTAATATAAATAATATTGCTCTGTTTTGAAACTCATCCGGAGTGGAACAAAATACACCTAGACGTGTAACGCCTGTTTTGTTCTTTTTTCCCACTCGTTGATGAGGTATTCAAATAGTGTAATAACATATATCAAATAACAGCAGTAGTTGAGTATAAGTATGAGAATGTAGATGAAGATGGGAGTTAAAAAAAGAAAAAAAAATCTTATACTGAAAAACCAAACAAAACAAAACAAAATGGGAAGGAAGGGACAGCGATCGGCTTTGCATCGTGACTTGATTGCATATACGAAACCTGCGTCTGAGTCAACATCTGATTAACTTAAGTTTTCCAGCAGATACCTATTTGTGTAGTGACTTAGTGACAGTTGAATAATTAGAATTTCAATTCGGAATATTTATTTTCCTCATACTCATACGATACAAATGAGTTTTGATATGAAACAAAAATTCTGTCGCTTGACGCGTGTTTTGCTGACCAAGTTAGCATCATCAGGGAATGACATTTCTTTTAAGAAAATTATGAGGAATCGTTTTGTGTCTGAATATTCATCACACTATATTGATGAACTAGGGGTTACTTAATCTCCCGAGTATTATGACACGTCACCAAATATTTTGCACTATTTGATTTTATGATCAAAACAGTCACAATGTGAGAAGATGTAGCTGAAAACGATTGAATTGCTTATCTTAACGTATTTTCCAGAATCTTTTATATTGCAAACACTTGGGTGTCGACACCGATAACCACTATCGTATAAAAATACCAGAAACTTGAATGCTCTGTAATCAAAGTTTCAGTCGAGCAGTCGAAGTCAGACAGTCAAGCTGTGTAATTTGTTGTGATAAAAAAACCTTATAATAATCAAGGTGAGTTTTCATAAATATTTTTTGAGTGCTACAATTTAGGAATTAATTATTTTCGAAGAATATAATTGTTTTTGTAGCTTCAATCATTTTTATTTTTACAGATGAATTAATCTAAACTAAACATCACTTCAATTACAGAAAGAAAGAGTATATTGTAACTGAAGAACATACCTGTGGGAGAACCCCAGAAAATATTGTCGGCAAGAGAGGTCACAAGCAAGTTTGGTCCAACAATTTTATTGGAGTTGGAGGATAACGTCACTTTTTTGCCGCGACATATCATCGAAGAGTACAAACCATTTTTGACTGAATTCACTGGAGGAAAGTATTCGAAAGTATTCTCACTATCGACGTGAGAACACCTCAGCCAGCTGATTTATTCAGAATAGTGGAGAGATAAATTTTTTTTCGGAAAAATAAAAGAGAGTAAGTGATATATTTATTTTTTGAAAGCCATATTGTTTTTTGTATTTGAAAAATGTGTAGTCAGACGACATCATATTGAAAGAGTTCGTAATTCAATTTTTGATACAAATTTCAAAAACAGAGATATACAGATTTGGATGAAACGTTTGAATATCCAAATAAGAACATGTAATAAAATCATCAAAGCATGCGTTACCTATCGGCTCAATAAAAAAATTACTAACTAATGTGGGACATTTCAAACATTTTCGAAAATTGATTTTGAATCACGAAAGACATGTTGGGTTAGGATTCAATTCACCAAGTAGAGTCAAATGGGAAAATGTTATATCAGGTTCCAAGAGCCGGATTAGAACAGGGGTAAAAACTAATTTATATCCTAAGGATTTGAATAATTGTAAAATGTTGGTTCCTAAATACAATCATGTAGCTTTCAGAAATTCTGTAAACAAACAATCTACCCCATTCATGATTTACGCTGATTTCGAATGTCAGTTGAAAGATTTCGCGAATTATAATGTTAATTCCGATAGAAAAACAAAGAAATATCAAAAACACGTACCTTTCAGTGCAGGTTACAACCTGGAATGCTCATACGATGATACATTATCATATTTCAATAGCTATAGAGGAGAAAAGTGTATGAATCGTTTTGCAAATGAAATGACTGAAATTTCAAAAATGATAAATATGAAAATAAAAACAATCGTACATGTAGTGGAGAAGCCCAATTCATGTGAGGTGACAGTATGTCATATTTGTGAAAAAAGCTTTTCAGCTACGGATGTGATTGTTGGCGATTAAGATCATTTCACAAGTCGATTCAGAGGATACGCACATCAAGCCTGCAATTTGAATTTCAAAAAACTGTCGTTCCCGTAGTTTTTCATAATTTGAGTGGGTATGATAGTCCTTTCATGATTAGCGATTTATGTGAACGAGGTCATTTGACCCTACTACCTGTTGATAAGGAAAAATATATTTCTTTCACTCTACATTCAGATGGAAACGATATCAACTCAGATTCATAGATTCATTAAGATTTTTAGGAGCCTTCCTCGACGAATTGGCTGCAAATTTAGATATATTTGAAAAAAACTACCTAAACGAGAATTCAGTTGCTTGGATGATGATTTCATTTATTGACTTGTAAAGGTGTATTTTGTTATGATTATATTGATAGTTTGGATAAATTGGAGGAAACTTCAATTCCATCAATTGAACATTTTTATAATAAATTGTGTGATGAACACATTAGCGAAAAAAAGTATGCCCATGCTCAGAAGGTTTGGAATACTTTCAGATGTAAAAATTTGGGGGAATACAACGACTTGTATTCAAAAACAGACATTTTATTTCTTGGAGATAGTTTTAAGCAGTTCAGGCAAATATGTCGAGATACATACCACTTAGATCCAGCATGGTATCATACTATGCCTGGATATACGTGGGATTGCATGTTGGAGCATACAAAGTGTGAATTAGAATTATTGAAGGATGTTGATATGATTTTATTATTAGAAAAAAGCATAAGAGGTGGAATATCTGTTTGCAGCAACCGATTTTCAGAGGCTAACAATAAATATATGCCGAATTATGATTCTTCAAAGTCATCTAAGTATATTCTCCATTTAGACGTGAACAATCTTCATGGATGGGCTATGAGTGAATTTTCACCCTCAGGGGGATTCAAATGGATTGGAAATATTGATAAATTTAGCATTGTATCAAAAAGTGATGATGATGATTATATTAACGATAGCAGACGATGCGCCAGAAAGTTTTTTTTTTCAAGTAGATTTAGAGTACCCAAAAAAGGTTCATGATTCACATACTTTCCATTTGCTGCTGAACATCGAATACCGCCTGGTTCTAAACTACCAAAATTAATGACTACACTTCATAA